TCACTCACTCACTCACTCACTCACTCACTCACTCACTCACTCACTCACTTTAACTGGCAGGTGGGTGGTAGACACAAAGTTGTATTGGGTTCAGAGGGACAATTACACAAAAACACATTTGCAGCTTTGCAGGTGTGGAGGTTAAATAGTTATTTTACGCTACGATAACGATAACAACACACACACACACACACACACACACACACACACACACACACACACACACACACACACACACACACACACACACACACACACACACACACACACACACACACACACACACACACACACACACACACACACACACACACACACACACACACACACACACACACACACACACACACACACACACACACACACACATTTACACACACAGAAGAGTCCAGCTGTTTTAATAGCAAACATATAATCTGCTCTCTGCAGGAACAATTACAAAGTCAGCATGAGAGCAGCCGTAATAAGTCAGGTGTGGCCGACGAAAGCTCCTCACCACCTTTTCTCTTTCCTCCACCTCTCTTTCACATTTCCTCCACCTCTCTCTCACATTTCCTCCACCTCTCTCTCACATTTCCTCCACCTCTCTTTCACATTTCCTCCACCTCTCGTCTGAATGTTACTGATACTGTCTGTTGCACCATCGGGAATGCTTGGAATGACAATAAAGGAATCTGATCTAATATTATCCCCACCCTCCATCTCCCTCCCTGTTTTCTCTGCAGGTCCACGTGCAGAATAACTGTGAGTTAGGGACCCGGGGGGAGATGGAGGACTCTGAGTTTGACGACCTGTTTGTGAAAGACCCCGAGGAACTGAAGAAAGACCCTCACACCTGCTTCTTTGAGAACCAGCACCAGGCCCACGGCTCCCGATGGACCCCAAACTACGACCGGTGCTTCTCCTGCAGCTGCCAGGTAAACACAAACACACAACAACTATTCAACTCGAAGCAGATGTTAAAAAATGTTTTAGGATGGAATATGGATATTTAGGGGGAATAAAGAAGAATAGAAGATAATGGAAGAAGTACTCAAATATTTTACTTATAGGTCTAGAAAGATCTCATGAACTTCCCCACTCNTCCCCTCTCGAGAGAAGGGATTGAAAATGTGGGGGAGGCGAACGAAACCAACCTCAGAGACTCGAGGTGCCTCCCTAGTTTAGTTTTAATGCTTTACCAACAGAGGGAAACGGGGGGAAGAATAGGGGTAAAGTTCCAGAAATCAAAGCCAACTTGGCATAAGAGAAACCAGGCTATCCGAGGGCACGGGCAATTTTTTTCTAGAAAGATCTCATGAACTTCCCCACTCAATCTATCAAGACCCGAGCAGTTCTATCAGAAGTCCAAGGTAAAGGCACAGGCCGGCGCATACCGCCAATGGAATCCCTCACCATATGAACTCTGACCCCTGGAGTGTAAAAGTGAAGAGGCACAACGCAACTACGTACATGCACTCTCCTGAAACAGTTGGAAAAAAGGTGGAAAATAAGAAGTGAGAAACAGGAATATGCACTCCAAAGTGCTTTCCCTGTAGACTAGGGTAACCATTAAGACCAAGCGTAAAGAACAGCGGTCAGCAGGCCCCACGTTTAAAGAATTTATTTATTTTTATCTAATTTAAATTTTAATCCTAATCTTGATTTTTCATTTCATTTTAATATTTTAAATATTTTTTAAATTCATAGATTATTTAACAAATCATCAGTTGTGGACCTCGGGCTCATCGAGTGTTTCGGCCATTATCACAAGACACTCTCACCCCAGGAGGGCCCTGTCGGGGTGATCAAATCCCGCAGTGTGTATCTTTGACAATTGGAGTTAACCATGCATAAAAAAATACTTTAAGTACCAAAATATAACCCATTTCAGAATTAAGCAATGTGCATGTGTACTTAAGTGCTTTGGTAGATGTAGAAGATAGTGGAAAAAGTACTCAGATCTTTTACTTATAGGTAAAAGTATCAATACTGCAGTCAAATCATGCTCAGTTACAAGAAGAAATCCTGAGTAAAAAATACCAAAATAGAACCCATTTCAGAATACGCATACTTTATGTGTACTTAAGTGCTTTGGTAGATGTACTTAAATTCCAACACTGCGAAGAAGCAGTAAATACATGTATTTGCTAAAGCTTAAAAGAAGCTGAAGTACAGTATGTAAAACGTACAGCGGTTGAAACTTCTAAAAAATAACGATTTAACTTGAAGCAGATGTTACAACATTTGTTTTGGATAGAATATAGATATTTTAGGGGGGATAACAAGTATTCAAAGATAATAAAAGAAAAAAGAATATCATGGAAGAAGTACTCAAATCTTATACTTATAGGTAAAGGAAGCAATACTGCAGTCAAAAAACACTTTAAGTACCAAAGTATCACCCATTTTAGAATAAAGTACTTCACATGTGTACTTAAGTGCTTTGGTAGATCTTACATTCCAACACTAGGGAAAGGCAGTAAATAAATGTGTTTGCTAACAAGACACTGATGTATATAAAACGTCCAGATGTTTTACACATCGTTTTGCACGCTTCGTCTGCAACCATGCAGGTTCAAAAGTGAAAATGTTGCACGACAATTGAAAGACAGGCTTTATTTGGATAAACTGAGCACCTGGTGGGAAGCTAAATACTTACTTTCTGACCTGAAACCACATTTAAAACTAGACAAAGTTACTTATTAACAGCTTTGAGCTTGGATCAAAACCTCACACTGCTAAGACTACTTATCGAACTCCACCAATCAGGGATGCCCAACCGCTGAAGTTCGTGAATTTCCACGTAGTAAACAGGATCTGGTCCCCGTGCTAGTTCTGGCTTAGTTGATCAGGATGCATTTATTTGGCACTAAATCCAAAAGCATTCCAAGAGAAGTGTGGAAGGATCGTTTGTTTACGCCCCTCGGTTACTTCTGAATTTAGCTTGTCATCGTACGTCGCACATTGAACCGACTCCTCGTGCTTTCTTCCTGCAGAAGCGAACTGTAATCTGTGACCCCGTCATCTGCCCGGTGTTGACCTGCTCCAAAACCCTCCAGCCCGAGGACCAGTGCTGCCCAGTCTGTGACGGTGAGAAGAAGACATTAGAAGCCTTTGAGATATCCAGCCTGTAGTCCTTGAGATGCTTTGAGCTGCTCGGTGTGAGCCACGTTTTGGGGCAGATTCTCCGCAGATGTTGAAAGCTAATTGTTCCATTTCTTCTTCTTCCTGTTCAGATAGCAAAGACGTGACGGCTCCTGAGAAGGTGGAGGAGAATCCTGAGGGTAGGTCCACCTCTCCGTCTCTCTCCTTTCCTCTTGTACTGTTTCTTTCTCCATGGCTGGACTGTTTTACACGAGTTCAATGCCTACATCAGAAATCAAATAGCTCTTAATAATACATTTACATCTCATAAAGAATTCTGAATGTAGTTTAGAGCTCTCCTATCTGAAGTCTTTTATACATCAAGATGTGTCCCTGGTGTCAGGAGACTCACAAAGTGTAAGAAAAGAAAACCCTCTCTTTTCCTCCGTACCCACGTCTCTAAAAACGGGGGAACAACGGAGCTGATCCAGGGTAGCGTCCGATATGACGTCATTTACATTGTTTTCCTTCTAAGGACCCAAAATCAGCGTTTTTCTAACAGAGCTTCAGAGGAGGGATGTGAGGGATGTCTAAAATGTGATGGGTACTGAGCCCCGGTATTAAACTATTAAAGACCGTGGTACCGTTAAGCTGCAACGTTATCGGTCTTTTTATCGGTACTGGAGACATGTAATAAATATATGTCTTATGTATTATTGCTACACAAACATTATATTGCCGTTTTAGTATCGCCAACTCCATTTCTAACATGCAAAAAGACTACAACATGCGTCTATGATGTATTTTTAGTATTTTCGATCTTTCCAATCTAGAGAGAACGCGCTCCGAGGTGTGGTTAAACTTTACCCGTCTCGATGCTCGTTACCAAAAGTGCAATAAGAGTTTATCATGTGAGGGCGGTAACACGAGCAATTTGTCTAAACATTTATCAAAAGTGCTCCACATCCAGACGGAGGAATGCACCGACTGTCTTTCTAGTAGCTCTGTAGCCCCGTCCNACACACACACACACACACACACACACACACCCACACACACACACACACACACACACACACACACACACACACACACACACACACACACACACACACACACACCGTCCACGAGTAACGTTTCCACGTCAGGTGTTATGTATGCTAGGAGCAACACACAGGTTAACTCAGTTATAAAAACATAGGTTAATGATTAAAGGTAACTGAGTTATTTATTTTGTTAAAGTTTCAGCTATTCTGTTCACAGTTCTGTCATCACATTATTTAATATGATTTGTTAAAGCATTGTTGTTTCTTTTGATGTGAAATATTATTTATTTAATTTAAATAAAAAGCTATTTCATTTTGTTCACAATTTGTTAAGTTAGTTTACCTTTTTTTTCTCCAAAAGAACCGATAAAAGTACCGTTAAAAGACCGGACCGATAAGCGGTATCGATAAAAGTAGTAGTACCGTTAAAACCTTAACGATACCCATCCCCACTCAAATGCATGATCTGTTTGGTATTTTGAGCAAAACACGTCATAGACATGTTTTTATATATTTGTATCTGAGAGCCATAATATATGCCTAAAAATAGCGAGATAGGAAACCTTTAAAACATATACTTTCCACATGTGGCCCAAATCCTCCATGTGTGATTTAGTGCTAACATGAAAAGGGATTGCATTTCAATACCTCTAAGGTTTATAAATAAATGCAGCCCAATGCATTTCTCTCTAAAGTTCAAACTACTTTTCTTTCTGACTGTAACCGTTTTTCCCGCTCTTTCCGTCAGGTTGCTACTTTGAAGGAGACCAGAAGATGCATGCTCCAGGAACAACATGGCATCCCTTCGTGCCGCCCTTTGGATATATTAAATGTGCCGTGTGCACTTGCAAGGTAAATACACATGAACAAACACACACTCACATCTGGAGGGGTTTGGCTTTCCAGGAACCCTTAATGCATCGTTGGTCTTTTACAAGGCTGCAAAGAAGCTCGGGCAGGAATCGGCCCATCAACACAATGACATCATGTTTTTAGACCAGAAGAAAGTGGGTTTGGGACTCCTTCTGTGTATAACAATACAATAACACAAGTCAAATAAATATATATATATAGTTAGAGGGAAAGTCCAATAAAAAGACAACATGAATTAAAGGATAAATATTCATATAAATATAAGAAAATACATTTAAATGTCAAATAAAAATATAATTAAATATAACAAAAAGTTTTATATTTAAACATAAAAGTTAAAGTAAAATATCACTAAATTAATAAAACTAAATATTTATTTTATTTTAAGACTTCAGAAAAGTCCAGCAAAAATAATTAAGAAAAATAAATAATAATATAAACATAAGAAATTAAATTAAAATGTCAAATAAAAAATGTATTAAATATGATACCATTTTTTGTAGTCAAACATAATAAGTTCAAGTAAAGTGTCCAATAAAATTATAAACATAAGACGTTCAAGAAAATGTAAATGTCCAATAAAATAAAAATACAACACGTATATTACAACGTTTTGCGATGTTTGCGTTTCTCAAGTATTCTATTGGGTAAATACTTAATAATGTTGAAAAAGCAATAATTCAGCTTCAGTATGTCCTGATAACAAGTTGCTAGCCCGTTGCTAATGCTACCTTTCTACGTTCCCCCCTCAGGGCTCTTCTGGAGAGGTGCACTGTGAGAAGGTGACGTGTCCGGTGCTCAGCTGCTCCCACCCTGTGAGGAGGAACCCCTCGGACTGCTGTAAGGAGTGTCCTGAGGAGGAGGGCACCCCCCCAGGAGCAGTGGGGCTGGAGCACAGCGACATGATGCAGGCCGACGGACCCCGGCACTGCAAGTTCGGGAAGAGTTTCTACCAGAACAGCGACAACTGGCACCCCTGGGTTCCTCTGGTGGGGGAGATGAAGTGCATCAACTGCTGGTGTGACGTGAGTACTGGGGCTGATGGGATTTAAATACCACTTTTATATATTATCGGTAAAGTTGTGGGTTCTGAGAATGAAGACATTGCATTTCACTGACCCTCCTCTCCTCTGTTGTTGTCCTCAGCACGGAGTGACTAAATGTCAGAGGAAGCAGTGTCCCGCTCTGAGCTGCACCAACTTCATCCGCAAGGAGGGGGTCTGCTGTCCTGAGTGCCTGGGTGAGCAACACACACACACACACACACACACACACACACACACACACACACACACACACACACACACACACACACACACACACACACACACACACACACACACACACACACACACACACACACACACACACACACACACACACACACACACACACACACACACACACACACACACACACACACACACCCACACACCACACACACACACACACACACACACACACACACACACACACACACACACACACACACACACACACACACACACACACACATGTACGCATTAAAACGTCCAAAATGTTTCAAATATTGAAATCTAGAGAAATCTGTTCTAATCTCCTTTAAGTGTGCTGTCATCATGTTTTTAATAACATAAACCCTTGTGGCAGAAAAGGACATAATGCTTGAGAGCTAACCTGGTTTATTTAATCTGCATAAACATCTCCTTCTTGTGTCCTAAATATATCTTTCTTGTTCTTCTTCTTCACAGACTCCAAAGAGGAAGAAGTCCTGATGACAAAAGCTCCGGACAAAAGGCGAAACTGGAGACACTGAATCTGTGAGGAGACTCCAAAACAACTCCTTTCCATTTAAACCCTTCCCATCAACCCCACTGATGGACCTGAACCCAGAACTGCACACTGGGACCCCGCCCCCTCACCCACCCTGTTATCAGCTTCAGGATTGTAACGAGCAGAAAATAGCAGAGATAATAATATTAAAAAAACGTCCAAAGACTCTTTAAATGAAGATGAAGCTACGAATAGGAGCAACCAGACTTTACACACCTTTCCTGCTTCGCATTTTTGCTCAGTTTTTTTAAATCAAAGGACAAATACGCAGAAGTGAAACCGAGCTGGGACGCTCAGCTGGGTTTTTTCGGGAGTCCAACTTCGGTCGGATTCCATCGACAGGGCTTCTCTTCGAAGTTCAGCCATAAAGCCTCTCACTGGAGAGAGAGGATACGTGTGTGTGTGTGTGTGTGTGTGTGTGTGTGTGTGTGTGTGTGTGTGTGTGTGTGTGTGTGTGTGTGTGTGTGTGTGTGTGTGTGTGTGTGTGTGTGTGTGTTAATTGTTAATCATTTTAAGTTTCTAATATGTTCTGATGTTTTTGTAAAAGATAGAATGTTTTGCCACACGACAATATATATAATTCAGTTAAAGCAAGGTTAAACATATTGTCATGATAATATCTCTTGGTGTTTGTTGATGTAATACTCATGTTGACCACACGAGGCACCCTTACCGCTTATTCTAAATACCACTAATATGGATTAAAACACACTTCTAGCCCCCCAAACAAAGTAATGACAGTAATGGTAACGTACCTGCTTACTCACACTATATATAGCGTGTGTTTACAGTAGAGAAATGAAAATACACCTGAAGAAAGAAACCATAATTGATGCTTTTTAAACATGCTAGTTCAGTGGTATCTTAGAAAAAGGATCCTAACAAATAAATAAATAATTAGCAACAAAATTAAACCCTTTTTCACCTGGCAAAAACGCATTTCCCACCTTTTTTACCAATTAAGGAATTTAGAAACATTGTCATGGCAACAACGTGCCATTATAAGGAGATAAAAAGCCATTTAAATCAGACTCAGAAAATCACCAGATTGTATTTTTCTTACTTGCCTTTCAGTGCTTTTCTTAAAAAAGAAACATTACAAAAAATAAGAACCAGTGAAAACCAGTAAAGCACATTGTTTCCGTTCCTGCTGCAGCTTTTATAATTTGTCAGATTTCATGACATCAGGATGAACAGAAACTGTAAACGTCTCATCCTGATGTGATTCCAGTTTCATTGGAGCTTCGCCTCTCTCTCATCGCTTTGGTTGTTCCCATTTCTGTTTCTAAATAAGTCATATTTGTTATGGTCATTGTTGTTTATGAATATGAAGCTGGTTTGTATTTTGTATTTATTGAATGGTGTAGAGACAAAATAAAGAGATGTTTGTTAAAGAGAGAATACCTCGTCCTTTTACTTCGTGGTCTGTTGTCTTTCCCCATTTCTTATCTAGTTTTACAAAACATACCCCTTATGAATATCCAAGTTGTCTTCTTCATCTTTCTCCTATTTGATTTTTGGTCTTTGATCTTTGCATTCCTGATTTTCCTTTTCCATTCCTTAACTTTGATTTTCTAGCATTTTCTTAGCTTCTTAGATTTTTTCTTTCTTCTCCTTCTTTAAAACGTATTTCCTTTCTTTGATCGCTTTCCTGCTCATACATTCACCACATGTTCAGGGTTTATCCCTTTCATACCTTCCAATACACACACACACACACACACACACACACACACACACACACACACACACACACACACACACACACACACACACACAGGGGGTGCAGACAAGCTGAAACATAAACACATATTCACAGATGTACCACGACACACTCCTGAATCAGGAACACACACATTGCCAAAGGACAAGTACATTTCTCCCAATAAAACACACACACACACAGACACACACACACACACACACACACACACACACACACACACACACACACACACACACACACAGACGTGGGACTGCACTCTGCTGGACAGAATAAAGTATTACATCAGATGTGTCGTAAAAAACAGCTGGTCGAGCTGCTGCTGGCACCTGTTGACCTCAAAGGCACAGAGCAGTGTGTGTGTGTGTGTGTGTGTGTGTGTGTGTGTGTGTGTGTGTGTGTGTGTGTGTTTGTGATGTGGTGAGGACATGTTGGAAAGTAATCATCAGGTCAGCAGGATAGGGTCAAAGGTTAAGTACTCTGAACTACAGTCTGTGAAGAAGCATGTGAGTGGAGTGTGTGTGTGTGTGTGTGTGTGTGTGTGTGTGTGTGTGTGTGTGTGTGTGTGTGTGTGTGTGTGTGTGTGTGTGTGTGTCACAGCAACATTTGTCATGTATTGACAGTAGGGGATGGTGTGAGAACACATGTTATAG